AAAAATTTAAAGTTTTTATATGTTTTGAGTGCTTTATTGCCTACATGTATACACACACATGCGCGTGCGCACACACACACACATATATGATGTGGGATGTCCTGTATATGTGCTGCTTTTTTTGGTTGAGAAATAAAGCTGTTTTGGCCAATGGCTTATCAAAGTAAGGCCAGGCAGAAAATCCTAATAGAGATACAGAGAGAGAATAGGAGGAGTCAAGGAGATACCATGTAGCTGCTGAAGGAGAAAGATGCCAGAACATCACCAGTAAGCCACAGCCTTGTTGTGATACATAGACTAATAGAAATGTGGTAATTTAAGATATAAGAGCTAGCTAGGAATATGCCTGAGCCATTGGCCAAATAGTGTTGTCATTAATATAGTTTCTGTGTGACTATTCAGGTCTGGGCTGCTGGGAAATGAAAGTGCAATCTCCATTTACATAAATATATGTACATTTGTGCACCAACTGCATGCTGGTGCCTGTGAAGGGTGTAAGAGGGTATCAGAGCTCTAGGAATGGGAGTTACAGATTGTTGTGTTCTCCCATGTGGGTGTTGGGTATCAAATGTGGGCCCACTGCAAGAACTACAAGTGTTCTACACTGTTAAGCCATCTCTTTAGTCTCTATTAAATGTTATTGAAGTTAATAATTTGACTGTGTCATTTGTTTTTGTTTTCTCTTGTTTGATGAGCATTTACTACTCATGAGCATCTGTTACTAATACATGTTCTCATAGAAAAAACATAGATTGACAACTCTCAATGTCTATTTCCTCTTTGTTTTAATAATACAGTAGAAATAACAAATGTCAGAGTTTTATGGTTTGGGCACATGTAAATGGCCCTGGAACCTGCTTCCACATTGAAGTTATACCTAAACCTCTGCAGTAACCAAAACCAAAAAGTTTATCAAGACTTGTGCTACTTCTGGCTCATCTAAGCAACCTATGAAAAAGTCGGGATTGCATATGCATGACTGAAAACAACAATTAAAAAGAAGGAAGATTCTAAAACTGCAGTGCTCATCAAATATGAGGGCTCCCTTTCGGCCATTCTTTATTACAAATAACTGTTGTAATCTCTACCTTGGCAATAATAAAAAACAATTAACTCAGCTAAAACATGAAAGAATGGGAAAAGAGTCGTTACCTGCAAGAGGTGAGAGGAGTGCAGGAATCATTTCCAAAACTCCCTTCAACAAAGAAGTAGGAAGATTCTTTTGAGGAAGCTTCCACAAATTTTCACAAAAAGGTTTGGTCCACTTCTAAGCATGTGCAGTGTCTGGTCATAAGCACATATTTAAATAATTAAAATCATGGGTAAGAATACCTATGGATATCTTCCACATATGCCATAAAATTAAATATATTTTGAAGGTTAATTATTGTAGGACCCTGCCCCTGTAGGTGTATCTCTCAGTAACCATGAAATCATCTGCAAAGAGTTAAGTAAACCATCTTTTTCCTCAGTTCTCATCACCATCATCATGCCAAAAAAAGAAAAATAGCTCTTGTAAAACTGAGCTAGAATTGCTTTAGACATGATGACAAGAAACAGTAAATTTACTTGAAACAGACTACCAAACAGGCCCCACTGGCAACACCATGCCCTATCATTTCCTACAGACATTGCCTTTATATGAGTGTGGTGGTTCATACCTATAATCTGAGAAGTTGGGAGGCTGAGTCATGAGGATTGACATACATTCAAGGCAGCCTGAAATATGTGATTTACAGACTAGTTTGAGCCTAATACTTGGAGATCCTGCCTGCAGGCCTGTCTGAATTAAAGAATGTCGCATTCCCTCAATCTCCCATTGAAAGGAACTAATTTGCATTAGGCTTCCAGTATAGTCCTTTTGTTGTTGTTTTTGGTTTTTCTGAGACAAGGTTTCTCTATATAACCGTCTTGGCTGTCCTGGAACTTGCTGTTGACCATGCTTGCCTTGAACTCACAGAGATCCACCCACCTCTGCCTCTGAAGTGCTGGGATTAGAGGTGTGCAGCACCCACGTGGCCTAATTTGTATTCTTTTTAAAAAGAAAATGTCCAATAAGAATTTTGAGAAGATCTTTATGAAGTTTCTACCTGGACAACTGAATGAGGCACTGTTCACACACCAACTAGTCTAGGTATAAATGTCTATATCACAAGTCTTGCCCTTAAGGAATTAGCAAATTAAATAATTTTGTAAATAGGCAAAATTAGAAGACATCATTGTTGAATTACATACATATGTATATAGGTATGTATCTTGGTAATAGTACAGCAGTGATCTATTTCCAATGTTTTCACAGTCAGGAGTCTCCTATGACTTTCCTTATTTGCAACAGTGTGAAGGGAGAGTCCACAGTGAGTATATTAGTAAATTTAATTTTTTATTTTGTCTTTCTACGATTTAGGAGGTAATGTAACTTTGTTGATTAGCTTAAAAGAATAAAATTCAAATAAGTCACACCTAGAGTATGCTTTCCATGAAAGTTTCAGAAGATACCGTGCTTCAGATAACGTGACCTTAGTGCTTTGACAAATTATAAGTTTCTGCAGTAAATGCAGTCTACTGGACAAAAGGAGACTTCTTTGATCATGGCTGAAAGCAGCAGCAGTCTATGAGCATTAACAGAAACATTATTCTGCTGCCTGGGGGACCAAAGTCCAGCAGTTCAGGGCTCAAAGGGAATCCACACAGTTGGCATACTATGACTTTTTTATCTGAGGGGTAAGGAGAAACTCACACTCTCGGTGGTGCCCTTCTGTAGTCTTTCTTCTCTCAGTGTTTTATATTCTCTTTCTTTCCTTTTTTATGTTTTTTTAAACTTTTTTTAAGATTTATTACTTATTATGTATGTAGTGTCCTACTGCCTATATTCTGCCTGCAGGCCAGAAGAGGGCATCAGGTCTTATTACAGATGTGAGCCACCATGTGATTGCTGGAAATTGAACTCAGGACCCCTGGAAGAGCAGCCAGTGCTCTTAACCTCTGAGCCATCTCTCCAGCCCTTTTTATTATTTTTTGAGACAGGATTTCACTGTGTATCTCTTGTTGGCCTAGAACGGACTATGTAGACCAAACTGGCCTCANTTTTTTTTTTTTTTTTTTTTTTTTGAGACAGAGCTTCTCTGGTGTCTATCCTGGAACTCACTCTGTAGACCAGACTGGCCTTGAACTCAAAGAGATCTGCCTGCCTCTGCTTCCTAAGTGCTAGAATTAAAGGCGTATGCCACCATTACCCCTTTTATATTCTCTTTTCTTATCTCTATCCAGAAATGTCCCTTTTGTCTGGTTTTCTTCCTAATTCTCTCATTGTTGATTTTTTTTTCCTTCTAACTCTATCCTTATTCTTTCCCTAACAGCTTATATACCCCAAAATCTTTCAGGCAATATAAAAATTACAATGTGGTTACATTTTATTTATCAAATGAATGATTACAATTAATACAAGTGAAAAACAGCATAGTTTCCATATCCCTACATAATTAAACATTTTACTTATTACAGGTGTAAAACAAATTATCCCCAAGAGCCCATGTATATTCATACCCAAGCAACTTGTTATAGATTAACAGAGTATAAGCAAGCAAGGTATTCTTCTTAGCCAGTTCTTTTGCTGGCAGGCTGCATTTTGTAGTTACAAAGAAGGACCAATCATTTTATTTAACTTGAAAGGTAATCTTATAAGGAATCTTAAAGGAATCACAAGCCTAAACTTTTATACTTGAAAAACAATCACTCAGCTCTACTTTAAATTTTTAGGATGTATACCCACTCATCAATAGCTTTTTATATCAGGAGACTGAGAGCAGAAATGGGTACAAGGAATTACTCATCATCTTTGATCACCAACTAATCCTGGAAAGGAAAGGAAATGAGCTAGTAAAAACTGGTCAGCTTTGCTTTTTTGATTCCTAACATCAAAGCTATTATCAAAATGTCTTAATCTAACCTGAGGTCATTCTCAGGCTTTGTTTCAGCTGTGACGCACACCAAATCTGTGAGTGCATCTTTCTACATCAAGATTTAAAAAATCTGAGCCAGTCTGGATCCCGAGACTCAATTGTTTTCCTTCATTGTTAACTTGAACCGTGATCCATGCAGCTTCTTAGGTGAAACTCTTACATTTCTAGATGTACGATACTTTCTTGTATTTCTTTTTTCTTTTCTTTTGAATATGGAACGCTTCATGAATTTGCGTGTCATCCTTGCGCAGGGGCCATGCTAATCTCTGTATTGTTCCAATTTTAGTATATATGCTCCCGAAGCTAGCACGTATTTCTTTTCTTTTTGTTTCGTTTGGTTTGTTTCTGGTTTTGGAGACAAGGCTTCTCTGTGTAGCTTTGGAGCCTGTTCTGGAACTCGCTTTGTAAACCAGACTGGCCTCAAACTCATGGAGAGATCCACCTGTCTCTGCCTCCTGAGTGCTAGGTACTCCTTTAAGGCTAGAGTACCTCTAAGTGGACTTGCAGCTGTCTTCAATGTCTTCCTTCTTCCTGGGCATTGTTTTTGCCGAAGTCTCACTTTAAGCAAGGGCCACAAACATGCTTGTGCATCCTTCTTTGGGATAAAACAGTGGAATGACACGAGAGTCTAAGAAACAGGATTTAACGTCGAAAGATATCGCAAGTTAGAGACAATTTACAGTATTCTGATTGACGCCTTTGTTGCGCTCCTAGCGAAGGGCTGGTCCAGTATATCAAAATTCCCTATTTTATGAACCGGTGTGTGAAAATACTACCTTATCTTGCTATAAGTTAACCGGCAAACCGTATTTGTATTACATGCGAGGCTTTAAGGGCTTCCAATTTAGAAGTTACTCGTTCCTTTTTGCTTCAATATAAGATGGCGCCCTCCACAGCTACTTCCGTGCTTTGCAGGCGAGTAAATCAGCTTGCCAGCATCAAAGATGGCAACCAGTTGCGCATCCTTTTATCTGCGCAGGCTCGGATCGCCCGGTCCCGCCCCCTCCGGGTAGCTGTTCCTGACACCGCTCTAGCCGTCGCTCTCTGTGGGCAGCGCCGCCAGCCAATCGCCGGGCGTACCGCCCTAGGCCCCGCCCCCGCCTCCTGTGGATCAGCTGAGGGAGCCGAGATGTCTGTTGACAGCGGCGGAGGCTGTGTGGCCGGTTCCGGGCTCCGCGCAGGGCGGGGGGTAAGCTGGCTGGCGGGAGGGGTCCCGGCTGGGGGGGCGGCGGCCGGCGAGCTGGCCGCTGTGCCGAGTTTGTGAGGTAGTCCCTGAGCCAGCGTTTCCGGGTATCTGTAGATGTGAGTCCTATGGAGCTACCAGTGGAAGACGAGCCGCAGCTACCGCAGGAGCCCTGGGGAAGGCTCCTTCGTCTAGGCGCGGAGGAGGACGAACCGCAAATCCTTCTGTGGAAACGCGAGTGGACCATCGGAAGGAGGAGAGGTGCGGAAGCCAGAGTGGAGTGAGAATGAGGATAAGGGCTGAAGGGGTGGACAGGGATTAAGGCTAGGGACCCAAAGGGTGTACCCCACCGAGAACAGAGACTGAGGGCCTACAGCAGGATCGAAGACCTAGGCATTGAAGTGGGTTTAGATGGGGGAACCGGCAGGGAACTTGAGATGGGAAAAGTACAGGGCTGGCGGTACAGAGACTACCAGAATAGGGAGGAGGGTGCTCTGTGCTTTCCGGTAAAACCTGCTATTTACTTACTTGTCTGTGGCGTTGATACTCAGGTTGTTTGATGATGAATATTTTTCAGTTCTCATTACAACTTTATAAAGTAGATTAGTAAACATGTCCTTTAGAATACGATCTTGTGTCTATTACTGTAAACTTCTCTTTCCCAGTGGAATTAAATTAGCAAAAGGAAAACTGAAAGGTTATGTAGAAAGTTGTTAACAGTTGATGAGTGAAAAAAAACAAACCACAGGAACTTTTCGGAAAGAAATGGCTCACATCCTAGCTCTCTGTGAGGCAGAGGCAAGTGGCTCTCTGAGTTCAAGGACACCTGGTCTAGAGAGTGAGTTCTAGGACAGCCAGGGCTACACAGAGAAACCCTGTCTCAAATACCAAACAAGAATGCTTTGAGACAAATGAAAACAAAGAAATGCTGAAAGAGTAGGATGCTGCTAAACCAGTGTTCAGAGGGCAATTTCTAACAGCAGGGTTTCCATCTGAAGAGATCTCAAAGTCCCAGGAACTAGAATATTTTATTTAATGATTCTAGGAAGCTGAGAACTTCAACAAAGTCATGCATAAAGCCCAACATGACTTGCTTTGGGCCAACAACCTACCTTCCATTAACTTTGTATTGATCTTATTTTTTTATTTTTATTTTTTTTAGGAGGATTGGTGAAATCTTACATGAACTACTTGTAAGAAACATAGCTTGGGGTGGAGAGCTCAGGTGGTTAAGTGCTCCAGCACCTATGTAAAAAGATAAATATGGTGGTACATGACTGTAATCCTAGTTTGGGGGAGGCAGAGACAGAAGGATCTCTTAAATTTACTGGTCAACTAGTTTTTCTGAATTCTTGAGCGCTAGGTTCAGTGAGAGACCCTTTCTCAAAAAATAAGATGTAGCGTGAGAGAGGAAGATGTGTGACATCTACCGCTGCAAACATGGTCATAAGTGCACATGCATGCGTTAGAGAGCCCATTATAATATACATGTCATAATATTTCATGCATGTTAGAACAAGAAACAAAAATCTGATTATCATAGAAATGCTTTCAGTGAATGTATTAATATCACTAACAATGTAGAGGACATTGTACTAATTGATTAATACACTAGGTGGCAAGCTAGATCTAGCACCCAGAGGTTGTCGTTTGATAGCCACATTAAAAGTTTTATGGAATTTTGAATGGAATTGGCTTTGAGTGCTAGAAAAGAAGTTGTATCTTAATAACACAGGGATCTTTTAACTCCTGCTATCTTCATCTCCTCAAGCCAGTGTCATTGGCTTTCTGCCCTCACCATGACTTCCTTCAGCTTCCACTAGTTCTCAGATACTTCCTCCTTTAGGGCTCTGGATAGAACATTTGAGGATAGGAGTGCTTCTATGAACCCAGCTTCCATGGGGCCTTAGCTGGGCCAAACCTTGTCTGCGTCTTCTACCTTTTCGTATCCTCATCCTCCTCTATGGTGGCTAAGTTATGCCTGCACTTTGGCTGGGTCTCTTGAGCTACTGGCAAGAAATGAAAAGGTCCCTATGTAGAATCTCAGACCGTATGTGACTGTCAGACCGTATTGAGCATGAGGCTAACACCAGAAGTAGGGGTTTGGGACCTTCTGTGACCATCAATACTACCTCAAGACCATGGAGGACCTTTAGGACAAGATTCTTGCTGCCTTCATTGGCAGATTTGTCCAGATTTTTCCAGAGGTAGACAGCACCCATCTAGCTGCAGGTGATTTCTAAATCAAATTTTAGGTGCATTAGATCAGATTCTGTGTCTGAGCCTGAAGATCAACATCAGTTAACTGATTATGGATAATCTAGAGATGTATGTTGCAAGCCTAGAGGAAAAGTTGATGTACCTAGAGAATCATAAAACATCTTGTGGTTGGTCAGGCTGGTATGAACATGTATGCCACTCTGAGCATTTACTTATCCATGATATAAAGAGACAAGACAGTATTAGATTGTGGCAGAAAAGAACTGGAAGGATGAACAACCGATTTCTAATCAAACTGGCTGAACTTTGAGGTGCTTATCATATGAAGTAATACCACATGAGCAAGTCTTAGGTTACTGACCTATAGCATATCCTCCAGAATCTTGAGATACAGCTTCAGTTGTAGCTTGACATCAAAACTTTCCTGGAAGGCATGCTAACAGAAACAGAAGTCCACTTTAGATTCTAGTTGATGCAGGTCTAGGTAATGATCAGCTGTATTTAAGCCCATCTTGGTAATATGTATGCTGATACCCAGGAGTGCCAGCAGCTCTAGGACATCATATGGTGACTGGAACAAGATGCTGCCATCTATGCAGCCTGGTTAAGGGCCAGTGTGTTATACGCTCATCTCCCAGATCCTCTGAGTCATTAGGTGTCTGGGCTTCTTTTCTTACAGAGGGTTTCCTCTGGTAGGAAATGAAGGAAGGGGTGTTGGCCCTGGGTCTTTTTCCCTTCCTTGCCAGTAAAACTTGGTGGGCTAAGGACGGGAGGTATTGAGTCTTCTGATCCCCCAGTCCATAGGTCCGTGATGGAGTCAAAGCACAGGCCAAAACAGGATAAGGTTGTGATTTCATGTGGGACATTGTCTCCTCCTTACCCTCATGCCTCGCTCCCTTAAGGTAGATCTTAAGATATATAGCCCAAGGGCTGGAGAGATGGCTCCGAGGTTAAGAGCACTGGCTGCTCTTCCAGAGGTCCTGAGTTCAGTTCCCAGCAACCACATGGTGGCTCACAACCATCTGTACTGAGATCTGGCACCCTCTTCTGGCGTGTGGGCATATATTGAGGCAGAATGTTGTATACATAATAAATAAATAAATCTAAAAAAAAAAAGATATATAGCCCAAGCTGACCTCCAACATATGATCTTCCTACCCTAGTCTGTGAGATACCTCAGTAGTGGGATTCTTGCCCAGCTTGTTCTTTTCACGTATTTATTTATTTATTTGTTTATTTTTGGTTTTTTGAGATAGGGTTTCTCTGTCTACCTTTTACTGCTCCTGCCTCCTGAGTGCTGGTATTAAAGGCATGAGCTACCACCACCCAGCAAGAACTAGTTTAAAATTAAGCCCCTTTGGACTTAATTTTGTTTTGTTTTGTTTTGTTTTTGCAATTGAGATATTATTTATCTTCTGAGCTGTTTGTGTGGTAACCTGTCATAAAGAAGCTGTTGTTATAATGGCTGTCTCCCAGATGACCTGGGGCAGGAAGGTATGGGACATACACCCTGTCCCTTTACTTTAGGTTAACACTTCAGTATTTAAATGTTGTTTGTGTCTGTGGGCACAGTTGATCACAGACTGGAAAAGCAAGGCAGTAGTTCTCACAGAGCCACAGTAATGTTCAGTGTCTTCTTGCCTCTGTTTCAGGCTGTGACCTCTCTTTTCCCAGCAATAAACTGGTCTCTGGAGACCACTGTAAACTTACAGTGGATAAAAAATCTGGTCAGGTGACATTGGAAGATACCAGGTGAGCACTTTATTTTTCTCTTTCCTTTTGTAACTTAGGAAGCTGACATGTTGTTACAGTGTAAGAGAGGCTTCCTTTTTCTAAACTGCTGCTCAGGTTCTGAAGTCATCAGGATGTACATTCTCTAGTTTCCAGCATGGGATCCTGGGTGTGGTTTAGTTCCTATAGCTCATTTTCCTAATTAAATCAAATATGGCTCATATGACTCAGAAATAAGATTTAAAATATATTGATAGTTTTTTCTTTTTCTTTATTTGAAAATAGATTTTTTTTTCATACAGTGTATTCTGATTATGGTTTCCTCTCCCTCTACTCCTCCCAGTTCCTTTCTACTTCCCCTCCCATTTCCACCCCATTCTGTCTCTCATTAGAAAGCATGCATATAAATAACAATAATAATAAAAAAATATAGCATAGTAAGAGGAAACAAAAATAAACAAATTGGAATAATAAAATAGAAGGAAGAAACCCCAAGGAAAAGCACTATAAAAAGATACAAACACAGAGACACATTTATTTGCACATTTAGGAATCCCATAAAAACACAAAACCAGCCGGGCGGTGGTGGCGCACGCCTTTAATCCCAGCACTCGGGAGGCAGAGGCAGGCGGATCTCTGTGAGTTCAAGACCAGCCTGGTCTACAAGAGCTAGTTCCAGGACAGGCTCCAAAACCACAGAGAAACCCTGTCTCGAAAAACCAAAAAANAAACACACACACACACACACACAAAACCAGAAGCCATAGTATGTATGCAAAGGACATTATGGTAGAAATCAATAAATAAGAAATTAAATTTTTAAAAAAGAGAGAATAATAATAATAATAAAAGCCCTGACACAACATTGTGAAACAAAGAACCTTTAAAGATGCTGTTGGCATCTACTACTGGGTCTTAGTGGGTGGGTTCCTTCTGGATGCTCTTAGGACAATCTCCTGTCAGAGGTTCTGCCTTCTGGAGCAGAGATGGGTTGGAGGAGAAGCAGGTAGGCAAGCCAGAGGCACAAGGACAGGTGGGGTAGGTGGAAGTGATAAGTAGAAATTATAGCGGAGTATTTGGATTTCAATCTGAGAGCAGGAATTCATTTGTTGAGAAAGAGTATGAAAATGACAATTGGTGGATGCGTGGTTGTAGAAGGCCAGTTATGATTGTGTCAACATTGTCGTCTGCATACTGGTTTATCAGCTTTACTGGGACATTGCAGGAAATGACTAAACTGGAGTTGGCATAGGGGCCTGTGAGAGACCCCTCACGGAGTTTTCTGATGGCAAAGGATTACATTGAATATTCCACTTTGACCTATATTCATTGGTCCAATGCCTGCCTTTGCCACACCTTCTGCATAATTCAGAAGGGACATTCTGATTGGATTATTCTTAGAAAAAACATTGTTTCTACAGTCCCTTTTAAGGTGACCTTGTTTGCCGCAATTATAACATTTGAGATTTCGACTTTTCCTTAAACCTCTGGAAGTCACCTCTCCATGCTACATCATGTTCAGGAGATTCAATGTTGATTGTATTTCTGATCCATTCATCCAAAGGTGCGGACCGTGCCTTTAATGGCCCAATTATCCTTTTACATAGAGAATTGGCATTTTCAGAAGCTAGAGATTCAATTATTTTTTGTCTAACTTCTAAATTTTGTATCATTCTATTTACTGCTGAAGTCAGTCTTTGTAAGAAATCCATAAAGGCTTCCATTGAGCCCTGTATAACTTTAATAAATGACTCAGTTTTCTATTTCTCCATTTCTCTCACAAGCATTCAAAGCTGCTGCGAGGCATAAACCCAGGGTGTGGTCATCACATACAACCTGCCTTTCTATAGTAACATAGTCTCCTTCTCCAAGAAGTTGATCTTGGGAGATTTCTCTACCTCTAGCTTTACTCTGCTGTTCAATAATCTTAGCCTCTTCTCTGAACCAGGTACTCCTTTGTAATTGCGGACTAGGCTCTAAAACACCCTTAACCAATTTTATCCAGTCTTTAGGGATAATTCTATTAGAAATTAATCATGAGTTAACATTTGCTTCACAATAAATGAATGCATGCTGTGTGAGACTTTTGCTTCCTTGAATCTCCTTAAATCTAACATTGGCACAGGAGCCCAGTTAGCTGTAACAGAGCCTCTGCCATTTGGCAATACCTTCAGGTTTCTGGATATATTAAGGTTGTTTGTCTGAAAACCTTAGACTGTTCCTCTTTATTCTTATAATGCAACACTGAAATTGGTTCTCCATTAAATTCCTCTGTCTGGATTTGAATAGCTTTGTGATCTGTTTTATTAGGTTTTTCTAAGGCCTGTATCCAACTTTTTTAGTGATAAAACAAAAATGATAAATTTGATGTTTACAATTGACATTACATAAATCCCATCTAAATTAAATATTCTCTCCTTTAGTTGTTCAGTTTTCAAACTGCCTAGTATATTATCATATAGAGACCCAAATCCCTCCATTGTAATGATTTTTTTGTTTGTTTTATTTTGTTTTGTTTTTTTGAGACAGGGTTTCTCTTTGTAACAGTCCCAACTGGGAACTAGCTCTTGTAGACCAGGCTGGTCTTTAAATACTCCTGCCTCTGCCTCCCAAGTGCTGGGAGTGCATCACCACCACCCAGCTTTCCCCCTTTATTTTATGTGAGAAAAAACTCTTGTCTTTTAACTAATTCCTCTCTTTAAGAATTCCCGGCCGGGCGGTGGTGGCGCATGCCTTTAATCCCAGCACTTGGGAGGCAGAGGCAGGCGGATCTCTGTGAGTTCGAGACCAGCCTGGTCTACAGAGCTAGTTCCAGGACAGGCTCCAAAGCCACAGAGAAAACCCTGTCTCGAAAAACCAAAAAAAAAAAAAAAAGATTTCCCGATTGTCTTACCAAATCTACTGACAATGTTGATGAAGACGTGAGGCTGATTGCTGTTGTGTGGAACAGTAAATGCCTGACTAGAATTCAAGGCAGCTACGTAGTTTGGCAGCAGCCCGAGAAGGGTGTTAGGAAGAGTCTACAACCCACAGTGGTGGTGGTGGGCGTTGTCTGAACACACACAGGGGATTGTTCGAAGAAAGCTTGTGTGGTAGGGGACTGCATGAAGGCAGAACCAGCCAGTTTAGTGCTGGTGAGTTCTGTGACATTTGGAGCCCAGGTTCCAGAAACTTCTGGAGACTGTTTCAGAGAAGGTACAACAGGAAAATCCCAAACTTGCTCAGAGGCTTGGGGAAAAAAGAAAAGAAAGCCTAGCCAGGTGGGCCTGGAGCCTGACATGCAACTTTGGCCTGTACTGGTGTCTTTTTCATGAATTCATACCCCAAACGTTGGGTGCCAAATTTAGCATGAATAATAAAACTCAGAGACAAATATTGTGGCTCAACCTGAAGATTAGAAAAGCAAAAGCAGCCAAGCCACTAGAGAGCTCTTTCAGAAAATCTTCAGACTGAAAAAGAACGAGTTACTGTCTCATCCCCCTTATATTCCTCTCTAATGCTGGGATTAAAGGCATGCACCACCATCACCGCCAGGCCTCTATGGCTAGCTAGTGTGACTTCTGGGATTAAAGGTGTGTGCCCCACTTCCTGGCCTGTATGCTGACTAGTGTGGCTGTTTTGCATTTTGTTCTTCAGGCAAACTTTATTTATTAAGATACAAATGAAATATCACTACAAGTAAGTGGGTAGTAACAGGCAAGTTTTTTGTCTTAGAGTATTATCAGGCAGTATATATGCCTTTGTGAAACTCATATATGAAATGGTTAGGTAATTTCTTTTTTGTTTTTTATTATTATTATTTTTTTAAAGACATGATTTCTCTATGTAACAGCTCTGGCTATCCTGGAACTCAGTTTGTAGATCAGACTGGCATTGAACTCACAGGTGTTGCATGTAACTCAGTACTGGTATTTGGGTTCACACGGGTCCATGAAATGAAGACTCAGAGACACATGAGAATGAACTTCAGCTCTGTGGCTGCAGCAGGCTCAGTCTCTGTGAACTGAAGCACTTTCCCTTTGCCTCTTGGCATCCTTATTTTTTCCCTATGTTTACACTTTAACTAGTAGATTTCCTTATCTCAAAACAAACTGAATGAAGTTTCCAAAACCACAATGCTAAAAACCTGATTCATGAGGTACCATGGTTTTCTGGGTTTCCTCTAAACCAAGTTTTGCATAGGCTTTGTATCCATGGGAAACTCCCAGACAAGATTCACACAGGGCAACAAAAGGTATCTATGACACAAATGATGGATTAGGAGCCGAGTGAAAACTCCAGAGCTAGGTCAGCAGGGTTTCATGTCTAGTGGAGGTTGCTTGCTTACCCTCTGGCACCAGGCCAGTGGGACATTGTGCCACACACAGAGATCTGGCAGCTTCTGCCTGTCAAGTGCTGGGGTTACAGGTGTTTGCCACTACCAGTTAGTCTCCTTTCCCTTCGGAGTATTTTCAAAACGGTAATCCTGCACAGATTTCTTAATATAGCAGAAAGATGTTAACCCTAACTAGTTATTTTGAGTAGGGCAACTTATGCCTTTGTTTTCGTTACAGCACCAATGGAACAGTGATCAACAAGCTGCAAGTTGTTAAGAAGCAGACTTACCCTTTGCAGAGTGGGGATGTCATCTATTTGGTATACAGGAAGAATGAACCAGAACACAGTAAGAGAGAAAAATTTACTGCTGTACTTTTCCCAGGTGTGGCATCAAGAAGCTGTCTAACTTAGGCTGGAAAACACCCTCAGAAAGAACACGTGTTGAAGCAGACATTTGTATAGAAAGTGACAGTTACAGAGTTTTTTGTTGTATGCACTTGGATGGAGTGCTGACTTTTGGGGCACAGCTTTTCTTCAAGAATGCCATCAGGAGCCGCACATCTGATAATGGCAGCTAAGGAGGAGTGAATGGGCTGGGCTGGGCTAAACAGTAGAATTGGAGTGTGGAAATAAAATCCAGGTGGGGCCCTGGAAGCCATTGCTAGGTCTACTCTTGGAGACTTTACAAAAAGCAACAAAAGGTTAGACTGCACCAGTTCCATATAGGATAAGGAGAGTTGCAAAAAATCTTTGAAAGTCACCCTGAAATAATTGAAAAGCATCATAAACTCGGTAAGGAAGGAAAAAGAAGCCACTAATATTCCTTAAGTCCTCTTAAAGTAAAGCACTTCTTGCCTCATAGAAGGAACTCGAATCTTTTCCTCCTAATGGCTTGCAGTTATTAGTGAAGCATGTCTTTTTTTACCATTGTCTGCTTTCTGTGACTATTTTTCCCTTGGTTGCTTGCTTATATTTAGGTTGGTAAAATTGTGGTTTGATTTTGTTAGAGTCACTTAAACTGTTGAATGTTGCTAGATGGTAAGTGAAGATGATCAAGACATGTTGTGATGTGATCAAAGGTGAACAGGAGAGATGAGGTCTCACTTTCCACTGGGGCCACCGCTCCCTGATTTGATTAATTTCCTTTTAGATGTGGCATACCTCTATGAATCTTTAAATGAAAAACAAAGCTTGCCTCAAGAATCCTTTGGTAAGTGAGCTTATGGCAAAAGCCTAGGTGCTGTAAAGGGCTTTTGAGTTCTAGGAATGGCCATTCAGTCCCCAAAGTGTCTTTCTGAGTTCTGAATGTACTCTCTTTATTTTTGTGCCTGTAGAAGCCAATAAAGAAAATATGTTCCATGTGACCAAAGATTCCTCAGGTCTGGGGCAGGGTGATGACCTCCAGGTTCCACCATTGTCACCCATGGCTGAAACATGCTTAGAGGAACCACAGCCATCAACATCGACATCAGACCTCTTCCCCTTGGCCTCTACCTCTTCTGTGGAGCCAGAGCTGACCTCTGCAGGGCAAAAACATTCCTCTAGCTCTGGTGAGATGGGGAGCACAACGACAATTGCAGTTTTTGTTCCTTGAGATACAGTAAATCCATTCATCAGTAAGTGCTCTGTAGTCATGTATACTGACTTATTTCAGTCCCAGGAAGAAGACTAATAAGGACCATGGTAACAAAGTATTTTTGTAATTTCATCTAAATATATTTCCTATACTGTAATTGTCACTAAGTTAAAGTATATCAATCAATGTTTTAGGTACATATACAAGGTTATATGGCCATCACTGGTATTTGTTTAAAGACAGGGTTTCTCTGTGTAACAGCCCTAGCTGTCCTGGAACTAGCTCTGTAGACCAGGCTGGCCTTGAACTGACAGAGATCCGCCTGCCTCTGCCTCCTGAGTGCCATGATTAAAGACATGTGCCATGAGTGCCCATGGCCATCACTGTTAATTACAGAACATTCTATCTCATAAAAGGAAACTCATATGTCTCTATTCATTTATTTGCATGTCTGAACATTTTGTGTTCATAGTCATACAGTATGTAATTTTATGACTGGGTTCTTTATTTATCATAATGTTTTCAAGGTTTATCCAGAGCTGTGTGTTGGTTAGAACCAGTTTTAACATGCCCTGTTCCTTATGCCTTGTCCTTTTTTTCTTTTTTGGTTTGATCCCCAACAACACACATACATAAACACTCAAAACCTACCTCACCATTACATTTAAATTCTATTTCATCTGTCCATGTGCATGTAGTCTGATACGACTGTTAACCTGATTTCAGATTTCCTAGAATGAATAATGTATATTTACTGTAATTTTTATTATTTTTTTTTATATTTTTGGTTTTTTGAGACAGGGTTTCTCTGTAGTTTTGAAGCCTATCCTGGAACTAGCTCTTGTAGACCAGGCTGGCCTCGAACTCACAGAGATCCGCCTGCCTCTGCCTCTGCTGGGATTAAAGACATGTGCTACCACCGTTCCGCTTCTTTTGTAACTTTTAAGAATGAAGATTTTTTTTAATCTATATGCTGAAGTATTTTTATACTAATAAAATAATTATAGTTAAAACTTAGTGCCTACTAGATGTGAGATGGTATAATAAGTACTTTTATATGTTCAGTTTTCCTATCTGGAGCCTTTATATAATCTTTGTCCTCAAATAAAAAGCATGGCTGAAGCCGGGCAATGATGGCGCACGCCTTTAATCCCAGCACTCGGGAGGCAGAGAGGTGGATCTCAGTGAGTTCGAGGCCAGACTGGTCTACAAGAGCTAGTTCCAGGACAGACTTCAAAGCCACAGAGAAACCCTGTCTTGAAAACAAAAACAAACAAACAAAAAAATCATGGCTGAACATAAAGGCTCGGGAGATCAGAGGATCAGTAGGTTCCAGAGCCAGGAGGTGATCTGGGAAGTTAGATTCTTGTTTTTTCTTTAGTATATGAGTTACTTTGTTCCTGAAATAATTCCCCTACTCCTCTTTTTTTGCTTTCGATGATATAATCCAGTTTCTTTTTTCAAATACTAGTGCTTATCATTTGAATATTATAAAGTAGATATGTATTATACTATAATAGTATGGATAAGCTAGAGAATAATGAAAAATTTCCTGACTTTTCAATAGAGTTCATTCAAGTTGCATGTGATACTTAAGCTTCTTTCTGTTTAGGTGATAACTCTACTTGATAGTTGCTGTTATTTGTTTTACCATACTTCCTGTTCCTGTCAGAAGTGTATCTATTTCACACCTCTTTTTGGTGTGTTTAGTATACATTTTGTGATTGCAAGAATGTGTACTTGTGCATCTTAGACCTAGTATTTAGGGACAGTCTTATTGTGGACCTCCCTGCATGTCTTTCCATGTGCATGTGCCACTTGCCTCTAGCTTCATAAGCACAGAGATGGACTCTAGTGCCTTTAAGTTGTGAGTATTTGTATAAGACATGATGCATGTGAGATCTATAATTACATAATGTACTTTATTAAATCAGTAACTCTTTCCTGATTCTTTTTTGAAGTGAATAAATCAGAACCTGTCTTATTTGTCCCTTTTTACAGGACTTGGGAAAGCAGGTATCTCCCCAAAAGAATGTAGTCCACTTGTTGCAAATCATGAACTCTCTAGCCTTTCTCCAGTTCTCCGAGACAAAGAAGCATCCTTCTCTTTGTTGGAAACTGAAGATAATGAGGAATTGGAGCCTGCCAAAAAAAAGACAAAAGGAGGTTAGACTCACTGTTCTGTGCATCCTTGTACTCTTGTGCTCTGTGCTGTGCTGGCTTTACCTGCGGTGGATTCCCGCTTTTTGCAGAATTATGTGGATCTGCCTCAGATTTATACTGTAACAACTTGCATTTTCTGTATGAAAGTCTAGGATTCTTCCTGTTTGCATAATTCAAGTAGAACTGTTCACTGCTAGGTCATGCTGTTGTTCTGAAAACAGCATTTTCAGTTACAAATGGATGTCATTTTTTACTGTCTTTGACAGGATAGTAATTTCTTTTAAAAAAAAATGTTACCTTAACCAGGATATGATGACACATAACTGTAATCTCAGAGTTTGGGAGACGGAGGTGAAGTACTGGAGTTGAAGGCCAGCTAGCTGTGGAAGTGATGTGATAGAAGAGCACTAGAAATAACCTCGGGGAAGAAACTGGATTATCTGAATGATTAGCTGACTTGTGGAACCCATGATAAGAAGCACAATATTTTACATTTTAAAAAAAGTAAATATAGAGCTGGTGACATGGCTCAATAGGTAAAAGTGTTTGTTGTGAAGCCTGGTAACCTGAGTTCAATTTCTGGAACCCACATAAAGGTGGAATTAAAGAACTGACTCCCCAGAGTCATCCTTTGACCTCCACACATGCTCTGGCATAGACACACACACACACACACACACACACACACACACATCGGTAATCTTTGGGGTTCCCCCCGAAGAATCTCCCTCAGTTAGATAAGAACACTAGGTAAAGAAGACCCAGGGCAGAGAATAACCGTATTTATTTCCACCTAGGTGGCTTTTAAAGTTGTATGCTATTTTTTTTTTCCCTTTCAGATGGGCTTTTGTTATTTAACCCTGGTTAGCCTGGAACCTGCTTTGTAGACCAGACTGGTCTCAGACTCACAGAGAGCCACCTGACTCTGCCTCCCAAGTGTGCCATCATATGCAGCCTATAAATCTAACTTGTAAAAATAAAATAAAAATTGAGCCAGGTATAATGTCACACATCTGCAATCCTGTTCTGAGGAAATGGAAACAGGTGAATCGGACCTTTAAGGTAACCTAAGCTATATAAGGAGTTGGAAACTAACTGGAGCAGCATGAAAACATCTGCAGAAACGACAGTAGTAGTGGTAGTGCTTTGTGTATACACTTATAAATGTATCTGGAAAAACAACCATTTTAAAGCCACCAGTTTTATTTCCAGGACTTTCTTTTGTGCATGGGGTCATGTTTAAGCAAAAATGACATTTACAAAGATATAAATACAAAAAAAACACTATACAACTGATCCTCTTTCTCTTTCTCCCTCTCCCACGTATTACCTTAATGTCTTATGCATATGTGCAAACATCCTGAGTATCCCTTTTTTCTTTGTCTTTTAGGTCAGCAACTGTTCTTCTAAACCAGAATTTAGGCACAAAGGAATATCTGACTTATTTGGGATCTTCTTAAAAATAGTTTTTAAATTTAAAAAAAAAATAGTTTTTATATAGCCAGGCATGGTGTCACATTCCTTGAATCCCAACTTTGTTCTAGGGCAGTGAGTTTCCTGAACAGCCAGGGCTACATACAAAGACCCTGTCTCAAAAAACGGCTACAGCAAAATAAGTCTTTATAAGTGGCTTTGTTTCCTCTGCTGTTGGATGCACATTAAAAATCTGAGGATCTTCTGTGTCTTCAGATGAAGTGATTGTGACTGTTCAGCTTACCCTTTGTCTTACAGATGAAGAAATTGACTTGAACCTGCAGTTATTGGTTGCAGACCAGTGTGGAAATGCCCAGACCTCATGTGAGGATGTCAGAGTTGCCTCTGTGAAGCCAGACAAGATGGAGGAGACACTAACATGCATCATCTGTCAAGATCTTCTGCATGATTGTGTGAGGTGTGCGGCTTCATAGCCTAGGGTGGACCCAGTAGCACTAGCTCCTTTGACAGGTGTGGGGAAGTGATTAAATAAAGTAGACTTTGATCCTCTTTTGCCCTGGAATCTGCTCAGGTTTTCATTTTCCTTTTACTTGTGGTATCAACAAGGAGAAATTCTCAAACCCGGTGACCAGGGCGGTAGAATCCATGAGATTTGGTCACTCTTGGTTTTGACTGACACAGGCAACCTGGTCTTTTCCTTGTAGGAGGATCATGTGAATTATACTGGGTTTCAAACATTTCCTCAAAAAAGACATAATACTTAAATGAAGTTACCAGGATTATCTTTGGGAGAAACTTCTCTTGGGTTTTGTTTGGAAACTTGGGAGGTAGATACTACCCAACCAAGTCTCCAAACACTTGGAGTTTCTGTTGCTTGTGTTCCTGAAGTTATGATCTGCTCTTTGTTCCCCCTGAGAACAGACATATAGCACTGGTTTTTTTTTTTTTTTTTTTTTTTTTTTTTGATCTTCTAATACTGAGCTTTAGTATTTTTAGGTTAGATGATAGAATTCTCCACAACTGGCTTACGGTTGGGGATCCAGCTTGCATTCCTGTTTGGGTAGGCCTGCTACAGGTGTCGTCTGAGTATCATAGTGGCATATCTGGAAGATTTTGTCAGGAAATGTGTTCTGTTCCTTCATATTCTGCCAGTTTGCAGCCTTGTATGCACACATTTTGTGCGGCTTGCTACTCTGGCTGGATGGAGCGTTCATCTCTGTGCCCTACCTGCCGATGTCCAGTGGAGCGCATCTGCAAAAACCACATCCTGAACAACCTCGTGGAAGCGTACCTTATCCAGCACCCAGGTCAGCTTCACTGACTTTTCCCTTTTAGGGTCCTGGGGTTGTGAGCTCTGCTCTGGGCAGTCTATATCATCTCTCTAGTTCTGTTTCCCTTGCCTGTGAATTTTGTTATGCCCTTTTTATCTAGATAAGAGTCGCAGTGAAGAAGATGTGAGAAGTATGGATGCAAGGAATAAAATCACTCAAGATATGCTGCAACCCAAAGTCAGGAGGTCTTTCTCTGATGAAGAGGGGAGTTCAGAGGACCTGCTAGAGCTATCAGATGTTGATAGTGAATCCTCAGACATCAGGTTAGACATGTGCCTGGCTCATAGTGGGGCCTGGGGATAAGAAATACATTAATACTGTGCTTAACTGTATTGTGGAGTGTATAGCTAGGGGACTTCAGTAAGTCAGTTTGCTTAATGTTTTTAGCTTATTTCCTCAAATGTATGGCCAGACTGGATGAACTCTTGAGCAACAATGAATAAGTTAAGAGCTTCAGGTAGTCTCCATGGTCTTTTTTAACTAAATATATATATATATTTTTTTTTCTTTTTTTTTTTTTTTTTTGTTTT